TAAAATTCCAACAACAAAAAAAAAATTACTTCTCGGTTAAAACGATAGCAAACGACGTGCATCTCTCTGATTTATTGCTACTCTATCATACAGGCAAACATAAATACACATATTTGTACGTATATAAAATTATCTCTACTTTTATGTACTGAGCTAGAGAGAGAGAGAGAGAGAGCACTCACACTCTCTATAGTATGTAGAGTAAAAAGGCGGGTAGAGACTGAGAGAGAGAGAGAGCACTCACACTCTCTATAGTATTTAGAGTAAAAAGGCGGGTAGAGACTGTGAGAGAGAGAGTTTCGAGGAGAGAGCGAGAGGCGCGAGAGATCGAGAGGCGAGAGAGAGCAAGAGAGAGCGAGAGGCGAGAGAGAGCGAGAGAGAGAGTTGAGAGTTGAGAGTTGAGACCAGACTTCAATATGTTCTTCATATGTGCTGAAAACGGAGTACGTTCTACGTTATTGCTTAGCTTTGAAGCCGTTTTCCCGTTTTCAGGTAGTATACCGGGAGCCAATTCTGAAACCCAATTTTGTTTGGATCTACCTTATATGGCCCAATTAATAGCTGTTATGTTTTGACAGTAGAAAATCTGTCCAACTATAAACAACTCAACAAATATTTTGATGAAATATAGTTGGTGAATTATTGTCGTTTCCACCTATTCTGGCGAAGCGTCAACCCATGCTAGGCCTCGATCTTAAAATATATAATTAAATAAAAGAATTTAATTGGTCAAAAAGGTCAAAAATTACATATAAAAGAATCGAATAGATCATTAAGTAATTCAAGAATTACCACTGAAAGTCTATGTATTGTGGTATGAAAATTCAACTTTATAGCGTAAAATTGAGGATTATGAGAAAATACATAGAAAGATATTGGCTGAATATGTTTTATTGAACCAATAGCATAAGTGAATCCTTGCCGTCGAAATTGTCCATTTTGCGCAATGCACCTCAACGAAACAAACAATCCACGAAACTGACTTAAATAAAAGTCGCCGCACGTTCGACATTACAACCGAAAGTGTTCGCCATACCTGCCAGAGTTCCTACCAAAGTTGCTTCCTCCTCTAACGGTACAAATGTCGACTGGCGGTTAACAGGCGTTAATCACCGCTCGACGTTCAAGTAGCAGTGGTGGACATTCTAAAAGTTGTCTTAAAATAACTTACCGCCAGTCAACGACTCCCTAAGTGTGCTAGTTATATGTTAATGTTTATTTAGTATAGTAGATATAGTCAGCATACTAGTGAATATATAAGCTTCTTTCCCTACAGATAGCGACAATAGATACACATACATTGTAGTGACAGTACATAATAACATTCTCAAAATAAACAATGGAGGGGGAAACCAATAATAGTCGACTGAATCGAACCGACATTGCATCAAGCATCGATACGATGTCACAATCTGATGCCGAACAGGTGAGTGATAGGCACGAGACTGCTTACCGTGGACCTTCCCCCTTTCTGAGACAACTTCAATCATCCAATAACACACTAAACAACTCTCACAACAAAGACACAGCGAACACGTTAATATGAGATCAACTGGCCACAGATACATGCAACATATTCAAATGCAAACTCCTAATGCCAATATAGTTCAACCACAATCACATTTACACCAGCAAGGCTCTACTCTATCTAGTGGTACGAAAGGAAGGAGATATACAGCCGCACGTTCGGAAATTAGGGCACCACGTATGGTCACTCATCAGACAAGTAGCAATGCAAACACACATCGATCCATGAATGCACGAACAAGAAATCAATCACTACCGCTAACAAGTGAATTGCTCAAAGCACAGAAGATAATGCAAACACAAAAACTGAAACAATAGACTCAACGGTAGCTAGAAACCTTACTTCTGCTTTCACATCAGACTCGGCAACTTAAACGTTTACATACACAGTTACATTCACAGTTAGGTCATACAAACCCACACGTGCAAACAGCACACAGTCACACATTCAGGAAGGGGGAAGGTTCTCACACATACAGTCAGGTGGCGTTTCGACACACATACAGACAGGTGGCAACTCATCATACATACAGACAGGGAGGGACTCTGTACGCATACATAAAGATGGTGACTCATCACACATACCGACAGGTGGGCACTCCGCATACATACAGACAGGTGGGGGGGGGACTTCGCACACATACAGACGGGAAGGTATATTGCCGATGATGCCAGAGTGAAACATCGATCGCATCTGGAAAAACCTTCAAATGACCAGAAGCTGACATTGGTCGGATGTACGTTCTGTCTCCTCAAAACACATCCTACATCGTCACACAAATGTCTGGTATGTGATACGATATGTCATCCTTTCTGTATGCTCAGTGAGACTGAGGGGTTTGGTTCCAATGGTATATGCTTTCGATTTTTACCGGGCCCGTACGACGTACAAACCAGGCAACATTGTCTGAGATTTGCTAGACTAAGAGAGCCCATTACTAAAAGTCAAAATGGAAAAACTACGGAAAAAAAACAACATAGTGTACAAAATTATGGCCCATGGTGCAACATATAATGGAAAATGGTCATTCGAAGAGTTCTATGACCGATCACATAATCAAGAAGACAACAGCAATGCAGACGGTGACGTAATAATCGATGATATGGATCCAGCTACAACTCTGCCAAACGATGCGGAGGTATGTAATGGTGATGAACGAGATATAAGTCGTGATATTGCTGTGTATGTCAAGTACAATGAACGATATGGAACATACACGTTCGAGTATTTATCAAAGCTTGATGATTCCCCGCAAACCTTTAAAATGGTAGTAGATAATAAGGAAAAGGATTGGACTCTATAATCTCTCATGCATGTCCTAGTAACAAATTCCTTTGAGACACGTATCCACCAAAGACATTCTAGATGTGAACAAGCCGCTTCCATTAGTGAGAGAGCCAGCAGACGGCACTATCAATCATTGGCGGAAGCTTCCATGCCAAGGTGGAAAAGGCACAGGGTTTAAAGACTTTGCGAAGTCTTTTACTAGCGCTAGTGACATGGTTGAAAAGACCAAGATCTATCTGAAGGAGGCGGGTTCGGTAGAAGCATCGTGGATCAGGCTTCATGATGACAACCCGTATCACAATACTGATGCTGAGATACAGGTATGTATAGATGTATTTAATAGTTGTGAAGTATGTGATAGCATTTATCTGTATTCATAAGTCCTGTCCTATGTGCGACCTCAATGAAAATGAACTACCACTTACAACCAAACATTCAAGAAATGATTGGAACATACATTTGATAAGGTGACCAAGAATTTCAAGAAAGGTGTGCATAGTAGTAAGCAACGGTACAAATGTATGTAAATCGTGATATGGTTCAACGCAGCAAAAACTAGTGATTAGAGTACGGGGAGTACACGGCAAAACGCAGCCGTATCACGAGTAGTAACTGTAGATATGGCGGAGAAATTAGGTCCTAATTGCGACACAGAGATAAGAGTTCGGGCACTTTGGCATTGCCGTAATGAAATAACAGTCGATAGCGTCAAGAATCTGAAACCAGGCGAGAAAATTCAATAGGCAGACATTCCTGATTCGTTTAGTTTGCAACACTCAAAACGACTGGATGCTATGATGGCGAGAAAGCGAGAGCGTCATAATATTCTCAGGCGCAATCAAGATTTTAGACAGAAAACCTTTCAAGATTTCATGTTGCCGATGCAGGTAAAGCGTAATGTAAAATGTACGGATGGTACTGATAGACAAGAGTTGATGAACATTTTATTATGCCCTAAACAGATGTTTCTGTCCATCGGTTTACCCTTTATGTAATAGCCGGGCCACCACATTAGACTCTATGTTATAAACGTACTCTTAAGCAGTACGTAAACTATAAACGTACTCTTAATATTACGAGGAACTTAAGTTTCCTAAATGGTTATTACCGTTTTTATTAATT